ATATATGATTACATAATTAATGTCGAAATATTGAATCCCAACACGATGGCGTGTATTTCAATACTTGGAGTATGTATTATACTTTCTTATTGTACTTATTTATTTACTTACTGTATAAATATTGTACTGACTAAAAAACTTTTTATAGCCTCAAATTATTAATCGTTTTTTCTTTTTAGGTGGCCTGAGCTTAAGTGTCACTGGACCTATACAGGCCTACATTCGTTTATCAATAAAAAAAAAAAAATTTTCTTTTTTCTCTCGTGAAATGTAAATAATTTATTGATAATGATGAATAAACAGTAACGGTAATGATAAATGACGATTAGCAACTAAAATTTTTAATAATGCATTAAATCGAAATTTAGGCCTAATCATTTTCACCCTTTAAAAATATTGGATGGTATTCACCTTTTTTACTCCAGAAATAAGCAAATGGCATAATAAATTGGCCAGTCATGAGAAAAGATGTTTTTTGTTCAACCTGGCAACTGTCACTGGGGACTTTTTTCCCGCAATTTGCCATGGCTACTTCCATTGTACAATATAAAACTGCTACATTATTAGTAGATCTCTACTATAATGTTGCATCCTGATGAAAATCCCACCGGGATCCCGATCAAAAATCCTGGTCGGGATCCCGATAGAATCCGGTAGGATCCCGATAGAATCCCAGTCTGGATTCTATCAGGATTTTTGATCGGGATCCCAGTGGGATTTTTGGTTGGGATTCCCGATTTAACGGGATCCAGATAAAGATCGCGACCGGGATTCTATGAGGATTTTTGAACGGGATCCCAGCGAGATTTTTGGTCGGGTTTCCCGGTTTATCGGGATTCTATCGGCATCCCGATCGGGATTCTATGGGGATCCCGATCGGTATTCTATGGGGATCCCGATCGGTATTCTATGGGGATCCCGATCGATATTCTATGGGGATCCCGATTGGGATTCCGATCGGTATTCTATCGGGATCCTGATCGGGATTTTTGATCGGGATCCCGGCAGGATTTTTGGTCGGAATTCCCAGTTTATTGGGATCCCGATCTAGATTTTGATCGGGATTCTATCGGGACTTTCAATCGGGATCCCGGCAGGATTTTTGGTCGGAATTCCCAGTTTATTGGGATCCCGATCTAGATTTTGATCGGGATTCTATCGGGACTTTCAATCGGGTTCCCGCCAGGATTTTTGGTCAGGATTCCTGGTTTATCAGGATCCGATTGGGATTTCGATCGGGATCCTGACCTGAATCCCGGCCAAAAATCCTGATGGGATCCCAGCGATTTTTTTAGTGGGGAAGTATAGAAAAGCGTCTTGCCCTAACAATATTAGTCTTCTTGTCTTTTTCAATTATATTACAAATTTGATGTATTTATTAAAGAGGTGTTAAGTACCTGATTTACCATGAAAGTGTGAGGATGACGCCATAGTTGATAATATACAGTTCTTTCTTTGTCATTGACTGTTCACCGTGTATGAATCATTGTATCAGCAGAAGCCTGTAAAGAATAATATGGATTAAAACATGGCAATTACTGGACTAACAAAACCCATCATTATTATTTATTTATAGCAGATGGTGATGAGCTAATAATATAATAAACAAAACCTTTACTTAACCATCATTTTCTTTCAATTTTAAAATATTCCAAAACCGTTTATTGTTTAATTTCTCCTAAACTTTCCATCAAACACCCCTCCAATGTCTTGAAAATTCCAATGGACTGAACAGCTTATCAAGCTTGGCAAGTATTGTTTGGTAATAGTTACAGGGACATAAGGATTTTTAATTGGAGGGGTGACTACTAAAAATTTGAATCGACACACTGTGAGATTTACGTAGTCATGACATATTGTACGTGTGGCTGATATAAACCTACTGATATTTTCAGAGGTCATAAAATATTAGTTAAAATTTAGGCTATTATTTCCAACTCATAAAAACATGCATAGTAATAAAATAACAATTAGAAGTAAACTAATGAGGGAATAAAAATGTAAATTGTCAAAGAATAAAATATTTTCCTCAAAATCGGGCTGTACTGAGTTGGTTGAGGATGTAGTTTTACTGTAAATACAAACCTTTGTGCTATTTAATGTTTACAATATGTGTATATCCTTGGTGATACCAAAATATACACAATGAAACGTCTTGAAATCACTAATTAAACAAGAGAAATGTAAACGTAAGCTCCTTACACTTCATTTTCAGACTGTAGGTACCTTTTTTGACTTGGAATCAAGTCTGGATCTAAATCATAATTTAGCCTTTTGTATGTCTTTATTTTCATTTTTATCTAAACACTACAGTACAAATTCCTACAGATAAATCTGTCCTTATTACGAATTAAACATCAAATTGTGGCCTTCTTAAATATCATATCACACCCGAATCATTTCCACACTTACCTTGAATTGAATGTAATACTAATTTAGAAGTAACCAGTGAAATAGTGCAAGTCCTATGCTGAAAATGTAATTTCAAATATTAAGATATTGACTCTGAAACTCTGAAACCAAGAACTTTAAAAGGAAATACACTACCTTTTACTGTAGGGTGTAGTTATTGTGTTATTTGTCCCACCTTTCAAATAAACTCTGTGTACCAAAACCATGGGTACAAAGACCTATGTTGATCACATGATAGTAACTCCTGGACCTCCACTGGTGATAATCAAAGATGCTTTGTTGTCTGTATTTTGTAAAATAATATTTGCATTTTCCTTGTGAAAGATTTTAACTGCAGAGCATGATCATAGACAGTGTAACTAATAGGTGATAAGCTGCTAACCTATTCTTTTTCTTAAGATTTTTCTTACTTTATTTATTTATTTATTGATTTATTTATTGATTGATTGATTTATTTATTTATTTATTTATTATGTGATATGCTGCTACAGCGTATCACCTATTGTTTCTCTTTAAAATTTTTCTTTTTCTATTTTTTTTTTATTCTTCCCCCTCCCCCTTTTTTTGTTCGCAGCTTTTCTCAAAAAGGACAAAAGTTCTATCCTTGACGTTACAGTCAGTTGACGCAATCTACGTGCCATTTTGTGAAATGTTATGGTTGATCATAAATTCCTCACCAATAGGCCATATTCAATAAAACTTGACACAAGTATACTTCATATCAAGTATCAACTTCTCGTCCTCATCGCATGGCATGCGCGTTAACATTTTAAAATGCTCAGAATCACTTTTTGACTAAAATTAGAGCATGTTTCATGCCATTTTGAGCATTTCAAAATTTGTGATGCCTCGCACACATTTTAACACGCTCAGCAAATGCGAAATCTCTGAATTATGTTCTTTTACATATTTTGGGGTCCTGACACTGTATTCACAAATTTCCAATCTTTTTCAGTCAGTACTTTAGAGGCAATAGCAATGCCGTACGAGCGCAATCAAACATACGAATCCGTTTGTGATTTTGTGTTTACAAAAATCATGCATATTTTTATTCAGTTATAGCTCCTTAGGATCCATGGTGACCCCCAATTTTTATTACGCATTCTGAAAGGACATGAGATGTAGACATTTGAAGTTATCATATTGCCATCTGAAATAAATAACTGAATTTTTATCTCTGATGTCATAATTTTTATACTCATTTTAGCATATTTCGTTTATCCTTGATCAATCATCTCCCAAGTTTCACTACCATACTTGCGTATAAAGCGACCCACGTATATGACACAACCCCCGGGTTTGAGAAGTTTTGTATGTTGGGTGTATAGGACGACCCCCTGTTTCACCGCCCGGAATTCTTTTTTGCTACTTTTTATAGTCTTGATACTGCATCTAGCTGGCTAAAAACGGAGCCAAGTGCAGGGCTTCTTCCAAATAATACAATTTTTTGAGATTTTGCATGTGAATCAAAAATTTATTTCCCTGTATTAAAAATTGCATTCATTCATTTGCTAACATTTTAATAGCTTCATGTTAGCTTGTGAGTTCAGATGCTTGATTTGTAGTAAAATTCTTAACATATATAATTGCGTATAATACGACCTGCGTATAAGAAGACTCCCGAATTCGAGAAGATTTTGGGCCGATTTTTCCAAAATAATAAGATTTTATGATTTTTTAAAATGTTTGTAAATATCTCATTTTCCCGTATTTAAACTCGCGTTCATTCATATTAGAACATCTAGTAGCCTCATTGCAGTAGTAAATTAGTAGTAACGGATGATCATTTTTGGTAATTCAAAATGTTCTCACTGTAGAAATCTATCGGATCCTATATAAGATTTATCGATGACAAATTTAATTTAATGCTCTAATTCAAACTAAATTACACATTTAATGTCTTGTAACTCTAAAAATAATGAACTTCTTTTTCTGGTTGTTTGGCAGTTTATATTTTGCTGATATCATCCTTGGATCTTGGCTTATTTAATCGGTTACTTAATCCTGTTTTGTTTCTTTGTAACCACATAGTTATCAACCTGAAGAATTTGAAATGCTTGACTATGCCAGTTGGGTGGGGATCTGGGGGGGCCGCCAGACCTCCACCAGGGTTCTTCCCCTGGGGGGGTGAAGACCCTTGGCGCTCCAATGATCTGAGCATTTTTTAAGCTGTTTTCAAAACAATTTCAGAAAGTGTTTGTTGACAATACCGGGTACATAGACATAAATATTTTTAATAAAGCCACATACAATTTGAGTTTCATTCTATTGTCCGTGTCACACCTTGGCGGTTTAGATAGCATCTGCCTGCATATGAAATAATTGGTGAATACGCTGGCGTACATCGAATAAGTTATTGGTAAGTTTTGTATAATTTAAGAGTACGCTGGTATACTACTTAGTATGGCGAGTACATCAAAAAATTTTGTGCATTCATCCAAAATCACTTTAAAATTCAAGACCGTTCCACATGATACGACACGGTTGGTAAAGTTGAAGTACTTCTCATCTGCAGGTGCTCCTTATTCTCCTACTAATCTGCAACTTGACTCTACGGACACATCCGTTACCTTGACATGGAAGAAGCCAGCGTACCCTGGAGCCTCCCCTTTACTGAGATACATCATTGAATATAAAGAACAGGGTAAGTACAAATACATTCATAAAGCACTGTAAACACTATCAAATTTTATGTGACAAATAAATGTGATATGCCCATATATGGATATAATATGACATCATCAGACCCATATATGGGAAAATCACATTGAATCTAAAGAACAGGGTAAGTACAAATACATTCATAAACCGCTGTCCACACAATCAAATTTTATGTGACAAAAAAAAGTGTATGGCTATATATGGATGTAATATGACATGATCATGCCCATATATGGGAAAATGACACAAATTTGTCGCATAACATTCGATAGTGTGGACAGAGGTTTATCTTTCGTTTTTTATTCATCTGCAAAGTAATTGTTGTTGTAATCATTAACAATAATAATGATAAAATTGATAAAATAGTGACAATGATAATAATAATAGTAGTTAAAACAGTGGTAAAGATGGGAGAATAACCCATAACTCATAGCGTCATTGTGCTGAATTACGTATCGGCGTTGTCCGTGACTGCCTAGTGGTCGTAAAGAGGTGCTTCATAGTAGCTACATGTTCACATCATTCCACAGTGACAGGGGCTGAAATGAACCATAGCATCAGGGTAACCCCCCCTATTCTTCTGAAAGATGCAGTGAGGTCTTTAAAGTGCACACAAGCCAGATGTTTACACTGGACCTCCATTTTAAGTCCTTATCAGTGAAATCTTAGTTGTACCAACCAAATATTAGGCGACGGGCAGCTGGAACCAGCGCCAATGTTAAGAGTGTAGTTTAGCGGCGCCCCTGCATTGACTGCTCGTTTATTTTTATAAAGGTGATTTTATGTATGCCAATGATACATAGTAAGGATAGTGGTGATAATTTTTTGTGATTTATACATCCTAATGTTTTTTTTTTTAATTATTTTATGTGAGAATGTTACATATTGTTGTTGATTATACTGTTTTACTATTGATGTTTTAACGGGTCTTTTCTCATTTTATATGAATAGTATATTTCAAGACATCCTTGTGGTCTGCAAAAAACTTGATACATTTTAATGTTTTTCTTAAATTATTTTTGTGAGGATGTGACATACTGATTATTTTGCTATTTTAAAGTTATTGATGTTGTAATGTCTTTTCTTATTTTATATGAATTATTTTTTAAGACCCATTTGTTTTGCCATAAATTTGTATTGAATCTTCAAACAACTTACCAGATAACAGTGGATTCCTTTCAAGTTCAGATGATGTTGACAGAACTAAAAACTCTGCTGCCCCCAACCACTGTAATGATTTTTTTTCCCCTTTTGAATTTTAATAATAAGATTTTTATCTTATTGTTTTTTTTTTGTTTTTTTTTTTGCAGACGTAGAGTGGGAATTGTTGTCCGACAGCATCGATCCAGACACCACATCTTATGTGATCTCCTATGGGAATCTTAAGAGCAGTACTATGTATGAGTTCCGACTCATGGCTGAGAACTCGCAGAGTATAAGTGAACCAGCAATTGCTGATAATCCTTTCGCTGTTCCAGGTAAGGCATGAAAAGAATTACCATTGGCAGACATCGTAGGGGGAAGGAAGAGTTATGTTCTTAAATGATACTAAACAGCTATTTCTAACTGGACAGTTGTATTGAACTTTATCACATAGACCGTCTTAAGCCCCATTTTTATTTGACATGCTTAAATATGGTCATGATGACATCACATCATGACCATATATAGGCACATCATGACTATATGAGAGCCAAGCTCACAAACAGGCTGTAAACTCGCACAGCACTGTATTGAGAAACAAGCCTCAATAGCCAGAACATGCCATAAAATATTAATTTCGTGTGAATTGGGTTTTTGCGTAATAAATAAAGTATAATTATTAATCTTACTATTCCTGAAGTTTGAGTTTAAAATTCAAACTGTAAAAGGCAAAATTTAGCCATTTTCAAATGGGAGTTAGTGAAAAGGAATAGGAAATTGCCAAAAATAAAAGCATTTTTCTCAAAACTTGATTTAAGAAAGTTTAGAAGATGACAATTATTCAAACGGTCATAACTTTGCTTTCAGACACCCGATTGAGTTCATTTAACTGTCATTTTAAAGTAAATGATATGTTCTTTGCCATTAACAAAATATAACATTTTTGCTTGAGTACGAGTTTACAGCCTGTTTTTTGAGCTTGGGTCACATATATGGACATACAACAGTTTTTTGTCAAAGAAAATATGATAACCTTGACAGGGCTTAAAAAAGGTCACATAGGGCTTTAAAAAGGTCACATAGGACTCAAATACATTCTGGAATAATTTAGTTTAAACTAAATATTAGTTAATTATAGCCAGTTACATTGTGTTAAAAATTATTTTTTGTCCTCCCCATATCAGTGAAGCCCAAAAGTGCCAATTTCAATTAATTCTTTGTTATTGTATACAATGGAAGGTAACTTAAGCCAATTAATTGTTTATTTGTTTGTTTAATTTAAACCAGTGAGTTGATCAACTTTTTAGCCCATTCTAATTATTGATAATAATTAAAGTAATGTTAATTATTTAAAACAAGAGACAATAAATATGTGCTAGCCTCTCATCTCAACCATAGCTTTGTGGTCTCTTTTTCCCAATCTGGTTATTTTTTGTTGGTTTAGTTGGCTTTTATTGGCTTGGCTTAGTCAATTCACTACTGTATATCCACGTATATAATTGAGTGCTTTGTATAAAATACCAGTGCTCAGTAGCATACTATTTACAAGATCTTGAAATATACCCCTGTCTCTTATACACATCTAGATGTGTATAAGAGACAGATTTTAAAGTTATTGATGTTGTAATGTCTTTTCTTATTTTATATGAATTATTTTTTAAGACCCATTTGTTTTGCCATAAATTTGTATTGAATCTTCAAACAACTTACCAGATAACAGTGGATTCCTTTCAAGTTCAGATGATGTTGACAGAACTAAAAACTCTGCTGCCCCCAACCACTGTAATGATTTTTTTTCCCCTTTTGAATTTTAATAATAAGATTTTTATCTTATTGTTTTTTTTTTGTTTTTTTTTTGCAGACGTAG